CTGGAAGTTTTGGTGCGGGATCGCTGGCACAAAGTTCTGGTGAACTTGAGCGAGGACGCCCTGGTTCTGAGCAGCGAGGAGGGCGCTGCGGCGTACAACGGCATCGGCAGCGCCACGAATGGCTCGTTCTGCAGGGGCACCCGGCACTCGGGCGCGGGCGGCGCGCAGCCCCCTGACTCGCCGGCCGGGGTCCGCACCGCCTTCACGGACCTGCCCGAGCAGGTGCCCGAGTCCATCTCCAACCAGAAGCGCGGCGTAAAGGTGCTGAAGCAGGAGCTGGGCGGGCTGGGCATCAGCATCAAGGGGGGCAAGGAGAACAAGATGCCCATCCTCATCAGCAAGATCTTCAAGGGGCTGGCGGCGGACCAGACCCAAGCCCTGTACGTGGGCGACGCCATCCTGTCGGTGAACGGAGCCGACCTGCGGGACGCCACCCACGACGAGGCGGTGCAGGCGCTGAAGCGCGCCGGCAAGGAAGTGCTGCTGGAAGGTAAGGGGTTAACGCCGCGCGGGCCGCGCCGGGCGCGCACACCCACTCCGCCTCGCGCGGCGCCCGCACTCTCCCCCACGTGCCGTCACACCCCAGGGGGCTGGGGCGTTGGGGACGGCACGGAGTTCTGACAACTTTTACCCACCTAGGGGCGACTTGTCCCCACCCTGGAGTCGTTACAGCCCTTGACGTCCCGCAGAGGGGTGTGAAAAGGCTAGGCCCGCAGGGTTTCTCGACCTCCTACTGTGTGCCAAGCACCGGGTCGCACGCTTAGTACACCTTTTACCTCTAGATAATCCAAGCGTGGTGGAGGGGCTGGGAAGTGGACCTGGAAATGAAACGTAGACACAGAGCCACCATCCACGTTAGGAAGTGAGCTCACTGAGGAATCGCAACTCTGATAGTTTTCTGCTTGGGCACAATTTCTTCCTCAAAAGCCTGGGCAACCCTGCCTAGAGGGTTGAATCATAAAGGGGCCAGAGCGGGGGCAGAGTTTGCATGCTAGCACTCCCACCACCCTTCTCGACTTCGCTCCTTTCAGATTGGAAACTGTGGTTGTGCCTGCGGAGTTGTGCCAAGGGCTGGGAAGTGCGTTGCAGCTTTATGCAAAAGTTCACTTCTGCTGCCAGGCGTTGGGCCGGTCAGTCTGGATTCCAGGTTGCTCTGGGTGCAGGGCTGGCGAAGTGGCTTTTGTGCCCGCATTTTCTGGGGATTTTTTTCCGGAGGGGTGCGGAAACAATTTTGCATTTGTAAACAGTTTCCCCCGCCTGTGAGGCATCTTAGAAATGACTCTCTTGAGATGCGATGTCTTCGATCCCCTAATTATTGAATGTGAATACAACAGGTAGTGAGGTTTGGTACCTCGGCGGTGGCGTGCCCAGGGGAACGGCCGTAGAGGAGTAAGCCGAGAATACGTTTTCTTTTCCCACCACAGCGGCGTTCCTCACTTGATCTCTGCCTCTCTGCCACTTGGCTGCTTTGTACATACCTCTGTCAGCGCTAATACTGTGTAATTTTTAAATTTATTTTCCCAGCTTCCCCCCAACTGTAGATTGAATTGTCCGGGGTCTTTTATTTGATTACTGGTCATCTTCCTTGAGCTTAGGTGCTCGATGACATGCTTGCTGAGTGAATGAATAAATGAACCCATAGCCACTGAAACATAATGTTCTACTGAGACCTTGTAAACCGGTGGTAAATTTAAGTCCTAAATTAAGGACTTAAGTCAATTTCCTGTTCAACAATTGCGGTGCTGGTGTGTGAAACTGAGAAAGTTCAAAGTTGGGAAACCAACTTCCTTAACTGCGACAGCAGATGCAAACTCTCTGCCCACCTCCTGGCCTAAAATACGGAGGGATTTTCTCCCTCTTATTTGTCTAGATGATTTGTGATGTCTTCATATTTAATTGCTACCTTGGATCCAGAAAGCGGAAGGCTATTTGCTTTGGCTTGATGATTAACATAAGTAAACAGAAAAAAAAGTTTTCTTGTCTCCAGTGTGTGTCGGTTTGTGTGACAAGGGGCAGGTGGGATCTGGGACAAGTGTAATTTGGACTATAAACTGTTGGACACCTGCTCAGCTTGCAATATTTACCATAAAACATCAGGGGAGAAAAGGCAGGTCATTTTTATCTCAGGCACTGCCCTTCATCATGTCCCTTTCTTTCTTCTTCTTGGTTTCATTTTAATGAATAATGACTTAGCAAAGAGGTAAAAAAATCTCACCCAAAAAGAGGAAGAAAAGGTGACTCTCTGCAGTTGAAAAGAAACAAAACAGAACAAAACAAAACAAAACAAAACCCAACTGGTTATGTGACTTTATTGATGCAGCAACTGAAAAGTGACTTTTATAAAAACCTCAAACGTGACACTTTACAGCACGTTGTCCTGTGTTGCAGGCAGCATCTCTGGGGGAGACCTCTGGGCCTTTTAGACAAGAACCACCTGGGCTCAGGGCAGCAGTCTTATTTCCAGGCTGAGTTTTCAGAAATTGACTGCTATTAAGGGAAGCAAGTAGAAGCCCCATTCAAGAGTGTCTCCTATTCTGAGGCAAAATATTGGTTTTAGATGTGGTGAGAGTGATCTTATACCATCAAATCAAGTAGCAGACATCCTCTCTTTTGTAGCTTGGCCTAGTACAGAAATTCCCAGCTGAAGGGGTTGATTAGAACCACTAAAGTGCTTTTTAAGACACATATCTACTTGCTCATATTGTGAAATGCCATCTTTATTCCAAAATTTCTACGTAGGAAAGGCTTTGCAGGTGTAATCTCATTAAACGAGAGGGCCAAGGGAGATGTTTTAAAGATGTATTTATATGGAAAATACACTGTTTTTTAATTTAGATTGCTTTTTTTCGATTTGTTTGGTTTTTGGTGGGGAGCTGGTGGAGATTAGTGTAGTCCCTCAATCGCTGCCAATACGGCACCCTATTAATGACAGACGCCGCCTAGTGGAGAGTCACGATGTCTACTTGTGGAACACTGAAATGAAACTCTGAATAGCAAATTTCAATGCCTGCCTTCTAGCCTGAGCCTCCGTGTCTCCTGAAAAATGAGAATGAAGACACTAGCTGGATCTACTTGCTTACTTAACAGGGCTGCTGTATGGAAGAGCACTCTGAGAATAAAAGAGAAAAACAAAAAACAAAAAAACCATGTATCAAATCCTGCTCTGATTAGTTGTTTTTACAATTCAAATGAAATGAAAAGGAAATTGCCTCTTCTGAGGGATAATTCTTCCCTTTTTCTTTACTAGAGTTTATATTTTTAAATTTTCATTCTACTTTAATTTGTACTCTAAAACTGTAGTGGTAGGAGATCATTCCCATGGGGAAAGAGAACCATTATAATAGCTAACATCTCCTGAGCACGTCGTGTGTGCCAGGCTTTACTCGGATTGGTTCATGTCACACTTCTAGTAACTCCGTGAGGCTCATGCTATTGTTGTTGATTTTACTAATGAAGAATCTAAAATTTACAGACAGTAGTTTATTTGCTTAGATCAACATAGCTAAGAGGCTTTCAGGTCTGTCGGACTTAAAAGCTCACACTTGTAACCTCTAGGTGAGGCTGATACCCTGAGCTTCTAGGTGGGACTGTGTGCTTGAGTGAGCGGAAGCATCATCAGTTATTGAGCTCAAGGTGTCCTTCCCCACTTCTCAAAGATGCTGAAGTGCTTGGGACAACCCTGAGCTGGAAACAGAAATGGTGTGGGCTACTCAAAAGGGAGGGGCAGGAAGGAGAATTGAGCCTTAAAATCCTAATGCACCAAGTGTCTGGCTATTAAGAGAGAGCTGCTGTGGTATGTCAGGGCCTCCATAGTTGAACACATGGCCAGCAAGGAGAGTAAACTGTAATTCAAACTTGAAATAGTGAGTAAACTGTGCTAGTTACGTCGACACAGTTTAATTTTAAGACTAAATATTCAACAAAGTGAATATCAAAAAATCTTCACACTCCGAACTCATTTTTCATTTTAGGGAGTGGGTGCAGGGACCCTGCATGCAGCCCTGCAGACATTGAACCCCATAACTCCAGGGGTCACCATTCACATAAACCACGATATGAACTGTACCCTCTGAAACTGGCCAGGGCATACCTTTATGAACAGCTTTGGCAGCTCTGGGTGGAGGAGGGAGGAGTTTTTTGCCCTTAAATTAATAGTAAACTGGTATTTTGAAAAATGTCAACCTGTTTGTAACTGAAGCTACAACAAAATTGGTTTCTCCATAATTTTGTCAAGATCAAGGAGGGCAGAATGTTCAGGAAGACTTATATTAGGGTGAGGATGTGTGTGTGTGTGTGTGTGTGTGTCTGTCTGTGCGCGTGTGCACGCGTGCATGGGGGTGGGGAGTGGACAGAATCATCCCTGGGTCCAATAGGAATCCTTTGGAACCGAGCTAGAAAAAGTAAAAAGTCAGAAGAGAACGTCGGAGACAATTGTTGACATTAACCCCATCCACTGCATCTCCCGCAGCACTGCTCCCACGAATGCTTGGCTGTTGAGATGTTAAACATGTCACTCTAACAATCACTTCCTCTAAGTGGTGGAAGTGGGGATGGATGGCGGGGAAGGGACCTAGGTTGCAAAGGAGGGGTAATGTTCTTGCTGGCATGAAATCTCAGGATTGGATGAAAATTTGAACTTTAAAGAATTTTACTTTATTTAGGATAAATGGATTCTTAAGAATACCAAGAACTCTGGAATCGGAGTCTTGAAACTTGCGTTATTAATCATCTTCTAACTAACAGATACTCTTTTTTACAAGATGCTTTATTTCTTTGGGCCTTGATTTTCTTCATTGGGAAGCTAGGGAGCTGTGTTAAGCCATCTATAAATCTTATTTCATTTCAAATCCTGTCAAATCAGACCCAGCACACTTTCAAGAACTAACTTTTCCAATGCTCCTTTTATTACGATAAAACGAATTTCATAAATCATATAACCTAGCTCAAATTTAAATTTAAAAATAAATGTAATGCCCTATTATGATTATGATTATGATTATGATTATTATATTAATACTAACATGATGGAGAAATGAAGC